CACAAACAAGCTGCTTATAAATAATAATTGGACGTTTTAATATGTATAAAAGTTAACTTTCTCTAACGTTCTCCTTAGTGCAGTTTACTGTGCAGCTCCAACGGCTAATGTAACATTAGCACTTAGCATGCAGATACCTTCCATTTAGAAGAGCAAGGCCCAATGCGTTAAACACTGCGTAACATCATACTTTTGCATATAAGTATATATAATACATGTTAACACTTATGTCGATTCTTATAAATAACAGACAGGGAAACTCGTTACCAATAAGTGTTAGCACAGCAGAGCTCTGTGTTCAATCAGTCAGCCAGCGGTCTGCTGCTGCCAAACCCCGGAAGCTGGAATATCGAACCAGGCATTAATAGAAGATCGCCGATAACGGTCGCTCTATAAAATAACATTATACGTTATAAACGCGAAAAGGTTAATTAAATCTCCTTCGTTTTTGATTTACGTAAAACATTCAAACATTACTTAATACCAATCCTTTTGACCGTAGTTTTTTCTTCTTCGCAGAGATCTGCGTTTGACGTCCATCGTTGAAGCACGTTGCCAAGCAACGGAAAGGTAAAACTTAACGGCCTTTGAACTTCAATTACATGCCGATTTTATTTGATGATTTGATATATGTATATATATTTGACAATGAAGAAAGTATTTCAGTTTGAACACAAAAAATGCTGTTCATTTGAGGTATGTTGCTAAATGTTGCCATATGGTGAACCTAAAAGTGCTAGGGGTAACCACAATAAGTATGAGATTGTTACCTTAGACTATTTACCTGAATTATAAATGCATTACAAACATATATTTTGTATTTTAATAACTTGTGTTTAATAGTCTTAACATGAAGATGAGCCACCAATCCAGCAAAAGCTTTCCACTTAAACATAACTTCCGGAAGACATCCAATGACCGTCACAGTAGCACAGCCAAGTCTTCATGTCATACAGCCAATGCTGCCTATACCGGCAAATCAGTGAGCTCTAGCAGCATAACAACAGATGTGCATTGCAACTCGTCACATAATGCGAGGCGTCTTAAAACCAGGAAGGAGAGGAATCAGATTCGAGGTCTGGACAGAAACAGGTATCGCCCATGTTCTCAGCACAGCAGAAGAGAAGGCGGTGAGAAAGCACATCGTCCACTGGCTTGCTCTAGAAAAGAGAGGGCATTCACTATGGCATTCATACCCCAGAAGCCAAGCATCATAACTGAAGGACGCCTTACTTCCATCCGAGGTCTTTTCAGCCAAGAGATTAGGTCCATAGATATTGAGAGGCTGGTGAGTGAGCAAATAAAGAGAGACAAGCAGAGAAAAGAGCAAAGAAAACAGTCTGTGATGCACATTACATCACCACTGCCTCCCTCTGTACCTGATTCAGACCTGGACGGCACTCTCTATGAAGTACAGGAACCTCTCCAGGAACCAGAAAATAATACGCCTCCACAAAAATGCAGGAAGAAAAGTGCAAGAGATGAGGGAAAAAACAGTGTTTTTCATACTAATAGAGGAGTTGTATTTATGCGACCATGTAGAGAAGATGGGAAGCATGACAGAAATGCCAACACCAGAAAGGAAGATACAAAAAGCAAAACAAGGCAAGATAGTCTGAGTAGGCCCCCTAGAGAAACCGAACATGTGGTTTTGTCATCCTCAGAAAATGAACCGGTTCACCAGTTATGCTCTACTCCAGCTGAAACTAAGAATAACTCTGATGGTTTTCAAACAGGTAATCTCAAGTCCCATGATGAAGGAAACCAAGAAAATGCTTTTATGAATATTCAGAGATTTGAGAAAAACTCTACAACAGTGGGATTCCCAAACATGGAAGTTACTCAAATGTTCGAGACTTTAACCTCTCTATCTGACCTGGACTCTGGGGCTGGTCAAGTAGGGGACAATGTTGAGCAAAGAGAGCAAATGTCAGTCTCATGTAGGGAAGCACTGAAAAGGCTCGCGACACGTTTGTGCCAGAGTTCAGGGCTCCGCGTGCCAAGCCGTCAACAGCCCCTGCTGGCCGAGTGTAGAGAGGCACTACTACAGACTTTACAAAAAAGACACAGTTTCCAATTAGATCACAACCTGCACAGGCTACATTCACTCTTAAATGGGAATCAGATGGCTTCTCAGCTGAGCTCAGGACAGAGAGATGAAGATTGTTCACTTTTTAGCCATGCAGTGGAGAATGAGGATGTGTGTTATAGCAGGAACATGGTGATATGGACAGGTATGTCACTCTTTTACATTTGTAAAAAAAAAAAAA